TGGAAGCCGGTATATAGATAAATGCATCCGATGCAGGCAAAACCAATTCAGTGGTTGGCAGTGATACCCATACAGCCCTTCGATAAACTGATGTAACATCACCCATGGATGAAAGTTTGACAAATGCCTCATAGATTGCAGTGATTTTGCGATATCGCTGAAAAAGTTTCTGTAAGAAACATAACTTTCTAAAAACTGCTTCTCACCTCACACCATTCGGCACTCGAATATGCTTTGCGCTGATATTCCACTCCAGTACTGGCCCGTGGACCCATTTGCACTTCCGCTATGGGCTCTTCTTCCAAGTGCTCAGGCTGGAATACGCAAGAGGAGATGAGAGATTCGAAGACAACACTAACCTCCTCTGGAATCTCAGCTACGACAGGTATAACAGGTGCACATGTTGGACTTGCCGGTGACTCCATGCCCGGAGAGGCGGGAGACTCTATATCCATGACTTGTCACTACAATTCTTCCTCCCCTTTACCGGGTGATTCTGTAAAAGATGGTAGCGAATTATCTAAGGAGTTACGCCACATCGAAAAGGCGCAGCAGTGCAAAAAATTGTACTGAAGCAAATACACTAATTAATCTAAATTGCAAATGTTGTTCGCTTTCGGCGAAGTATCCTCAAAAGATCAGCGAATTTGCCAACGCATTAACCAAGTCTAAGCAGGCGTCAGACTTATCCGCTCCATTCACTTCAGCCACTTCACTATTGGTCATAGTGATTTGACTACTACTGAAGTTGATGAAATGGCTAAGCGGAAAAGTCTGGCACCTGCCTAACGCCTGCGCAAAAGCCTAGTAACCTTATGCAGGAATCCTCGTGCATTCCTGGTTTTGTGCTACCTCGCGGTGCATCATTAGATGTGGTGACAACTATTACTATCTCGTCCATAACTTGCTCCTAGGCAGTATCTATAAATCATTTTGAGACTTGTTTAACTACTGTCTTACCCATGGATTCCTTGATGGTGTCTACATACCATCCACTCTAAGGCTGGGTTCATACTGATCCGCAAGTCCGGGAACAGTTC